GCGGGCGAGGAGGCGCGGAGGAGATGGGCCTCGGGGGCCCCGGCTGGGCCTACCGGGCCGGAGCAACGGCGGCGGCTTTGTGCCACGTGGCGGCGCCCGATAGGCGCGGGCGGGCGACGGCGGCTTTGTCCGGTGACAGCCGGACGTGTCCGGGCGCGCGAGGGGAAAATTAGGGTTTCGGGGGGAGAGGAAGATCCGGATTCGGAGGGGTCTTTATATAGGCATAGAGGGAGGTAGGAGAGTCCAAATGAGGTGCGGTTTTCGGCCACGCGATCGTGATCGAATGCTCTAGGACATGGAGCAGAGTTTGGTGGGTTTTGGGCCAAATTGGAGGGGTGTTGGGCTGCAACACACACGAGGCCTTTTCGGTCCCTCGGTTAACCGTTGGAGTATCAAACGAAGTTCAAATGGTACGAAACTTGACAGGCGGTCTACCGATAATAAACCAAGGCCGCTTGGCAAGTCTCGGTCCAATCCGGAAATGTTTAATCCCCACACACGAAAGAAAAGCTAGAAATGACCACCGGAGGAGAACGAAGCGCCGGAATGCAAAACGGACAACGGGGAAAATGCTCGAATGCATGAGATGAACACGTATGCAAATGCAATGCACATGATGACATGATATGAGATGCATGACAACGTCAATCAACACACGGAGACAAAACCCGAACCCGAGGAAATAAATATAACTTAACGCCGAAAACGGCAATAGTTGGAGTACAAATAGGGAAAGTTACATCCGGGGTGTTACATGATTATTTTGATGTTCCAAGTCCATGAACACGTCAGCACACCTACAAAGACCACAAAACAAAGGAAAACTAATAAAAACTAAATAAAAATAAAAAGTGTGCAATGAACTTGGTAAAACAAATAAATACCAAAAACTATGCATTGGAGACATGAATAAGTGCTAGATTGATATGATATGTTTGGCATTATAATATACTCTAAAAAGTATGCATAAAATTTACTCATAAAATTGACACTATTAAAACTTGGCCCCAACCTACAAACTTGATTCAAGTGCATAGATTCCTTGTACTAGCTGGTTTTACCGTTGTTTCGTTAAGGACTTTAGCATGATTGCTTCGCCTTTACATGCTTTGAGTAATAAGAATGCACCCTTCATATGGGGACCTTCACTAGATAAAGCGTTCAATGAGCTTAAGAATATGCTAACTCATGCGCCCTTGCTTACTTTACCCAACTTCGATAAAACTTTTGAAGTGCATTGTGATGCTAGCAGTAATGTTATAGGTGGTGTCCTAATAGAAGAGCGGTGACCAATTGATTATTTTAATGAGAAACTATCCAGAGCTCAATTGAACTACCTCATATATAATAAGGAATTGTATGCCTTTGTGCATGTTTTGCATGTTTGGGAGCATTACCTTAGGTCTAGAGAATTTGTTATTCATTCCGATCATGAAACTCTCAAGTATCTAAGAGGCCAAACTACATTGAATAAATAACATGCTAAATGGAGTGAATTTATTAAACCTTTTCCTTATGTCATCAAATACATTAAGGGTAAAGAGAATGTCATGGCAGACACTCTTTCCCTCAAATGCATGCTCAACTAGAGCTTAATGTCATTGGTTTCGAGGATATCAAGCCTATATGAGCATGATACATTCTTTGCGCTTCACTTTGCTAAATGTCATGATAACACTTATTGGGAGCATTACAATTTGAAATATGGATATCTTATGCATGCTAACAAGCTTTACGTGCCCGAGAGCTATTTGCGTCTGTTGTTTTTGCAAGAGTCACACGATGGAGGCCTCATGGGACACTTTGTCCAGGATAAGACATTCCTCACTCTCACAAACATGTACTAGCCCAAGATGTTTTGAGATGTGACGTGCTTCACCAAATATTGATGCACATGCCGTAAAGCTAAGTCAAAAGCTCAATTCCATGGATTATACATGCCTTTAGCTATACCATGTGCACCTTGACAGGATATAAGCATAGATTTTGTACTTAGTTTCCTAGGACTAGAAATGACAAAGACTCAATATTTGTCGTTGTGCATCGCTTCTCTAAAATGACACATTTCATTCCATGCAACAAAGTAGACGATGCTTCACATGTTGCAAATCTCTTTTACAATTGTCTCCGACCGTGACGTCAAGTACTTGAGCTACTTTTGGAAGACCCTATGCATCAAACTTAGAATCAAACTCATGTTCTCTTCGGTCTATCATCGTCAAACCGATGGCCAAACCAAGGTGGTCAACCGTACGCTATCGACACTTGTTCGCGTGCTAATTAGGAAGAACATCAAGGAGTCAGAGGAGCGTTTACCTGTCGCTGAATTCACCTACAATGTGCAAGATACACGACTACGTACATGTCTCCATTTGATATGGTGTAGTGTTTCAACCCTTTGTCCCCATTAGACATCCTCCCGCTTCCTCTCCAAGGTTTCGGAGTCGGATCCGATGTCCGTCATGCCGGAGAAGGCCTGAGATCATCGAAATGGTGGTTGGGGGCGAAATGAAGTGGAGTGTTTAGGGTTTTGTCTAAGATGCGGATAGGATGAATATATGCAGGATCGGAATGGGCCAGGGTGGGCTGAATCCGACGTGGAAGATGCATGCAGGCACGTCCGGGCCTCCCCATATCCGTCTTAGATGTGGGCTGAGAATGCTTGTCAGCCCGGCCGTATAGGGCCGGTATGAGGGGTGTGGCCGAGTCAAGATTTTGTGACCGCTCAGTGGCCGTCTGTGTAGACGTATAGATGTACCAGCTCATACTGTATGACATAATTTTTTTCCTCATATTTATGAGAACCCTAGACAGCAAAACAAAATGGACGACCTGGATCTTCAAGCCTATGTGTACCTCGGTGCCTGCGAGTCGACCGTGCTCAAATTGGGGGATTTTCGGGTTATAGCGTCAGCGGAGCGTGTCGGATGATGCGTAAGAAACTTTCGGGCGGCGGAATGGACGCGACGGTGGACGAGCTGAGCGCGGCGTATAAGGAGTTCGTGGCGGCTGCGGTGGCCGTGATGGAAGCTCGCGAGCAGTCGGGCGGCCAGAAGATGGCAGCCACGGACGCGGCGCTTGAAGCCTTCAAGCAGCGATGGGAGCTCTTCCGCGTCTCCTGCGACCACGCCGAGGAGCTCGTTGAGTCCATCCGCCAGCGCATCGGCTCCGAGTGTCTCGTCGACGAGGCCACGGGATCTTCCTCTTCCGCCTCCACGCCCGCAAGCGTCGCGCTGGCTGCCCCCGGCATCAAGCCAATCAGCGCCGTCCGCCTCGAGCAGATGAGCAAGGCCGTCCGCTGGCTCGTTATCGAGCTTCAGCACGGCGTCGGAGGGCCCTCAGCTGCCGGACCTGGCGGTGGCGTCTCAACCCCGGCTGCCGGCGCCGGAGGGCAGCATGTGCACGGCGGGGTCGAATCGCGCTTCCCCGAGGATGGCACCCAGTAGGTACTGTTGTTGCTTATTAACTAGTAGTATCATGTTTCAAAAAATAAGACAAGGAATTTATGTGTTAAGTTTTGAGATTGGAAACATTACAGTTTGTTGTGCTCAGCATAGTACCTGATGCGTAAAGGTGCGAAATATGGGGAAAGAACCACCAAATGATTGGCATTATTGTTGCTAGCTTGTTTCCTTGGCTGGCTGATATTTTTTCCGTGTCTTAGTGCGCGATGCTCAACATAGTTTGGTACAATGTTTGTAGGTACTCCCTCGGTACCTAAATATATGTCGCTGGAGAAGTTGAACTACAGTTGCTTCAATGACATATATTTCGGTACAGAGGGAGTAGTTATTTGTCTTTTGTAACTTAATTGTGCTAATCATCAGCTCACTGCCTTGCCTTACGTTTAAGTCTCTCATCCTCACTTTTTGCGGGTCAGGGACAGTGTTCGGGCCAGGTAGCTAATCAAATGTCCCAGAAATTAATGCACAATGTCACAGCCTACAAGATTGTCAGCCTATCTAAACCCTACTAAGATAGGGCTATCGACCTATGATATCTCCGAATATTAGTTTTGGCTCATCTGGATTTCTTACTGCTCTTGCATATGATATGTCCCGAGTGCTTTCCAAGATTTCCAATTTTCTAGTGAATCATCTGTGTTTCTTGTGTTAAGAGATAATAAGATCCACAAGCAGCAACATACGCGATATTTAACATTGAGAAATAATATGACATGGCTTATGATATTTCAACACCAAATATACTAGATGGTCATTAGATGTTTCATTTCCATGTAATGTTCTCTATGTTACTCATCTATTTGGATATAGGCAAAACTTTTACTGGATGGCGTGTCATTTTTTGTCTAACCAGTTGAATTTATGTAACCTATGTTGATCATATTCGCTCTCGACACTGTTCTAGCCGTTTAAGTGTTGTAAGTCAAGGTCTCTGAGCACTTACTCTGCCACCTACGCGTTAGCAGCAAGCTATAAATAGTGTTTAGTTTTTTGTTTTGTTTTTATAAATGGTGGTTAGTTAGGCGGCCACCTAATTGTTCACAACTCAGACCTAAAGTGGTTATGGTCTATCTATTTGGACGTAATATTGATCCAGTTTCTATAGGATATATGTTACATACTGACAGTATTATTTATGTTGAACGGTAGAAAAAGCTCTGTGCAATTGAGCATAGCATGCAACAAATATTAAATTGATGTAGCAGCATACCTTTAATGTTACTGGAGGAAATGTAGCCATTATCCCAGCATGACCAACACCTTCTATATGTGGTTTTGTTATTATAAAAACAAGACATGCTAGCAAGTTATTGGTCTATTTTTTATAAGTTGTATGCTACTCCCTCTGTAAAGTAATACAAGACTTTTTTTAGATCATATACTTTACAGAGGGAGTAAGTAATAGTGGTGTCCTTTTATATTGGTGCTATAAAGCTCTATGAACTACAAAGTTACCTTTTGGCCCAATACACTCTGATACGCCATGTGGCCAGTTATCCAATCCTTATTTTGGAAACAAATGTAAGATTTCCTGGAAATGCACTAGGCCAATCTCAACTTCACATTTTTTTAAATTCTTGTGCATGTAAGTGTTATTTAGTGTTCAAGGCCTTGCCCTAACAAAAATAGCAAATGTGTAAGAATGTGATAGTAGAGACATTCTGCATGCAAGTATATCTTCGTACATAAGTATTGAATATGTGTCCCACCCACTTAGTATCTAAAATAGTCTCAGACATGTTTCCTTTTCTCACTTTACTACTTTACTGTGCTTGGTTGTAAAAACTTTGCATGAAAAAAAACATTTTGTAAAAGTCAAGGACCAAAGTAAATATGTAATACCCAATCAACTGTATATACAATTTTTTTATTCCTTCGAAGTGTATTGGCTATTTTATATTTTTCACAAATGTAGTTGTACAGTTTTGATGTTTTTAGTACACCAATAGTGTCTGTTTATGAACCTCCGGGATTGACAACATTGAGTCCATAATCGTCTGAAGCATAGTATCTGATGTATTGCAATGTAGATATTTGAGAGTACAGTTTATTCCCTCGTTGCTAGATTTTGTTCTACTTGGACTGATATGGTCTGTTCTTGTCTCTGAATCATTCTAGCGCTTTGTCTTGTGTAGTGTTTAGTTACGGACTTATTTCTTTGCTGGATATCAAATGACATGAATGACTTCTTTCCTTTCAGTTTTACAATTTCCATATGACCGTATCACAGATGGTTGGAATCTAGAATATTGTGCACACAGCTGTATCTTCTAAGCTAGGTTCCGTACTTCCGTGGCTTCTTTGGACATGATTTATGGTTAGTCACTCTTGCCCAACTATATGGGAATTTAGGTCGATGCAACTAGTTTCTCCTGCAATTATGATTGTGCCATTGCTTTTGCCACTACACTGTTAAATTTCTTACATTTTTGCCACTGCCGTTACATTTTAGGTGTTACCATCCCTTTCTCAGTTAGTGCAACTAGTTATCAACCCGTGCATCTCCATGGGCTAGCAATTTGAAAGCAATCAATCCAGTTGGAAGAATAAGCTTATATATCCCAATCCATCTGGTCTAAGTCCCATTCCAATCAGATTTATAAACACCTAACATAATAGTAGCCCACAAATTCACTCAAATTTGCATGAATAAAGTACTAATATACTGAAAGTAACTACTGTCCCTTTGGCCATATGGTCATCATAATTTAAGTGTATTTTACTGCTTTGTGGAGAAAAATAATTATATCAAACATGGAAATTGCAATAACTTAACTGTGAGTTTTAGCACTAAATCACATCCTATGAGAGTAGGTAGAATTTTATTGCATGATATATTCAGATATACCGAATAATCACTTGGCTAATCAGTACAAGCCGACATGAATAAGTTCAACATTGATCTTTAGTAACTCCACGTGCAGCCTGTTTATTGTTTAAGAGAACTAGATGACTCATGTGCCAATGGCGCAAAGGGCGAGAGTGAACCAAGTTTTTAAATCATCAGAATTAGAATATTCAGAGACCGATTATCAAATAATTGAAGCATAAGAAAATAGATATTTAGGTATGATGTTCATACGTAGTGTTATATATTACATTTGAGGTAGTTTCATAGGTCAAAAGAAAGGCTTGAGACCAGTTCATGATAAACAAAGCTACATAAGCAGAGATGCATCATATATATTGTTTTTGTCACCAAGGTGATGGTAACTAAGACATGTTGCCATTTAGATCAGGCAGAATCATCGACGCATGTGCCATCGATGACACATGCGTCATATAAATAGAATCATGTCTACGGAAAACTATATATACTTTCAGCTCTTAAGGCAGTGATGGCACAAGCAGCAATGGCACAGCTTGGTGACCTCACAACTCTTCTTTTGCTGGCCGATCTTCAGCCTATTCCACTTTTTCGTAGACATAGATGGATATTGATTAGTTTGCACGTCCATTGTTTAGTTGGTGCTGAGATGGATAGAATTGAACAGTCGCCTCGAGACCAACGGTCCTTGCCTTGTGTTGAGTAAATTGTGGCCAAGATGTTGCACCAGAGCATCCAGAAGCAGAGCATCCAGAAGCACTTTTGTTGGGATCCTAACTTTTTCCATGACGGCAGACTGATAACAGAAAGTAAGACATTGTAAGCAAGTGCTGGAAGATTTACAGTGTAGATTATTCAGGTGTTGATTAGGAAGTATACACACAATAAGGACTGATAACTTATCGAGGAAGAAACTTCATTTCATTAATAGCATTTCGCAGATCAAGCTATAGAATAAAAAATGAAGTACCATCAGGCCGATCTCTAATTTCACTGAACAAACACAAATGCATTTTACACTGCCCGCGTACTACTATTGTTGTCCATTTGGAGTAGGACTAGAGCATGACGCGCGCTTTGCCGCGCCTATTCTTCGGTCGTGGGTTAAGTCCCCTATGTTTATTTCGTATGTGGTCTATTTCAATTGGTTGGCTTGTTGTGTGTAATTGTCATTTAGTTGTGCTATTTTTTTCTAGGAAAAAGGGATTGTAGTATAGAAGTGACAATCATGTTTAAGCATTTTTATAAAAGTATCCGGTGAAAAGGATTGCATTATTGCTGAATTATAGCAGTCACAATTGGTTGGCTCGGGGCGGGGGTTTGGTGATGGGCGACGTGGGGCGGGGGCTTGCGGGCGGGCGG